TTCATATATAATATATTATTACATGTTTTTAAAAATTAAACCACCAAACACAATTTCAGTTTTTTTTTTAACTGAAAATAATCTCGGAATAAAATTACCAAACGCATTTTCAGAAATGATTCTAAAATGAAAATAAAAACGTTTTCGTTTTCATTTTCATATAAAAAATAAAAACGTTTTGGAACCAATTCCAAACGCACTCACCGTTTCTCTCCCGTTTTCATTTTTTCTTTCTCAAAAAATGTAAAAAATAAAAACAACTCCAAACACAACCTATATATTTTAATATCCATTTTATTATTTGTTTTCCTTAGTTTATTTCCTTGCAACGTTTTGTATGTTTTTCCACTCAAACTCAACGTAGGAAACATTTTTTTTTAACGTTTCATGTCCTTTTTGCTTTCTTTTAATTTTTTCCCCTATTTGTGAGTTTCATTCGTTCCCTCTCTCCCCATTTATTCCATTTTTTTACATTTTTGTTTTCTCTCTTTTGTTTGTTGATCTTTTCTTTTTTGTCCTCCTTTCTTCTTTATTTGCATCTTTTGATCTCTTTATTATTATTATTATTATTATTATTATTATTTTCTCACTTTTCAATTTCTTGGGTTGTTTCTCCACAAATACTTTATATATTTTAATATCACTTTATTATTTTTTCCCTTTCTTTGTTTTCCTTGCCGGATTTTGTGCGTTTCTCCCCTCAACGTAGAAAACGTTTTTCTTTTTCTCTTCCTTTATTATTTTTTCACTAAAATCCAGTCGTAAATGACAAAGACCAAATTGGAATATTATTAACTCAGATCTTTTTAGTATTATACCTTTTGAGTGCTTTATAGATAGAAATACACATGCAATAAAACGTTTGTCTTTCACAAGGTTAGTGTGTTTGGTTGGGTGGAAAGGAATGAAATATAATAGAATGTAATTCTAGTTTAGGCCTCGTTCATTTCACCGAATTGAGTTTTCAATTTTAGGTTTCTATAGTAAAAAGCTATAAGAAAATGTCACATCTAACTTTTTCTGCTACAGTGAAAAGCTCTCAGAAAATATCACACCTCAACTCGAATCCGCGAAGTGAATGAGACCTTAATGTTTGGTTAGATTTATAAGAAAGGAATGATCATTCAAAATGAATGGTCATTTACCCATTTTGGGTGAATCATCATTCCTTGCTCATATGAGATGAATGGTCATTCTAAGTTTTATTTTTTTATTTTTTTTCATAATTATCCTTCAATATTATAATATAATTAAAATATATTATATAGTAGTTATATCTTATAATATGTAATATAATATAATATATAATAAAAATATTATGATATAATATAATATAATTATAATATAGTTATAAATTATAATATATTATAATGTAATTGTATATAACATAATAACACAATAAAATAATATGATATAATATAATATAATTGTAATATTGTAACAAATAATATCATAATTATATACTTATTCTAATATTATTATTTTATAATATAATATGATATTATAATGATTTTAATAATATGATATTATAATTATGCTATTATAATTATAATATCTTATAATTATTATTTTATAATAAGATTATAATAATATTATATATTATATAATTATTATTTTATAATAATATTATAATAATTTTATATATTATATTATATTTATTAATGATAATATAATAATTAATATAATCAAAATTTAAATATAATCTTATAATTATAATATTATTATCTATCATAGTGTATTACACACGTTATGGTTATATAATATATTAATTATAATATATTTATTTAATCTAATATAATTTTTTTTTGTATTATATTAAATATAATAATAAATATACATTATATTGTAATTATATATATTATATTATAGTATAATATAATCATTATTTTTAATTATTTCATTTATTATTTTAATAATATTATTATATTATATATCATAATTATATAATACTAATTTTATTATATTATATTACATTTTATATATTATATTGATAGATAAAATATTAGTATTATATATAGCATAAGGGTAAGTTTGTCAACGTGAAAATATTTATGTTCCATTCCAGAGAATTCTTAAAATTACAACCAAACAAATAAATCAATTTTTTTTTTCCATTCCATTCCTATTACCATTCTCATTCTCATTCTTATTCTCATTACCATTCCCTCACTCTAACTAAACGCACCCTAAAATCATTTCTTTCCATCAAGCGAGTGAATACAAATGGGAATTATTGGCCCATTAGTGGAAAAAATAAGATTATGATTTTCAGAAAATATTACAATTTAAGAGGTGATTTGATATATATGCCGTTTTGTCATTTTAACATAATATCGAAAACAGCCTACATAAACGCGAGTGAATATTAAACGGTGGGTCGTCGATATTGTTCTGTGTCACGATAGATTAGGAGCCTTAAGCATGTCTTAGAATAATGTGTTCGATGATATGGTATCCCATATTTTTACGCAATATCACAAA